CAGTGCAGCGCTGCAGCGCCGATCCATCGCCGATGCATCGGCGATCCCATCTACTCGGACACCACTGAGGAGGTCTCTAAACGTGTTGCCGATTTCCCGTTGGCTTCGGTGGGTCGCCCGTGGCTCTCTGCAGGAGGAGCTCCAGCCCGCGCCCGACCTGGTGAAGACCAAGCTGTGCTACAACTACTTCAAGCAGAAGTGCACGGACCCCAGGCGTGCGACGGGGCACCCCCCCCGCCGCCCTGCATGCACGGAAAAGCGCGCCCTCGCGTGGCGAAACTAATCACGGCGGAAGACTTGTTGTTATCTTCGGCCTCGCGTCGCGAAAAAAACACGACGGGCGTTCTCATCGCCAGGCCCCGGGCGTTTTTTCCAGCGGCGGCGCCGCGCAGAGGGCGCTCCCGGGGGTGCCCGGAGCGTCCCGAGCGGCTGCAGGAGACCCGAGCTGTGGCACGAGACCTCCTGCGAGTGGGTCGAGACCTCGAGTCAGTCGGGGGTATGCTGCCCTGTCGAAGCGAGGACCGATGCCCCGAGGGCCGACGCCGTGCGACAAAGACAAAGAAGCAAACAAAAAAACGCGGCCAGGGCTCTCTCGACCCGCGTCTGTCTGCGGCATGCCCCGAGCCAGACCGATCCGCGAGGAACTCTGGGGCCAATCGCGGGGCAGAAGCGCCCGTCGCTCTTTTTGCTCGACGCCCCGGCCTGAGGACAGCGAAGCGACGACGAGGGGGGCAGCCTCGGCGAGGGATCGTACCGCCGGCCCCAGGTGCAAGTTCGCCCACGGGGCCGCCGAGCTGCGCTCCGTCTGGGTGCCATACAGCCCCGGCAACTGGTGCCTCGACACAGAGGGCAACGGGTCACCGGGAGAGGGAGCGTGCACGGCCGTGTCTTCCCTGCTTCGCCCTTCCCCCGTTCCCCCTCGTCTTCTTCCTCCCCAGCCTCCGCCTATCGCAGTCTCCCCGCCCTCCTGCTTCGCCTTCTTCCCTCACCGAGCGCGCTCCGCTACTCGCAAAGTGCCCACTCGCAAACGTCAGATGTTGAAACATGTCATCCTCTACGTAAAGTGTCGTGGACCCCTCGTGGCGGATCCAGGCCGTTTGCAAGTGGCTACTTTGCGAGTAGTGGAACGCGCTTGCCTGTTCCACTTTCCGTGCTCTCTGCGCCCCCCTCTCACCGTCTTGCGTTCTCTTCAAGATCCGCTGATCCGAGCTTTCGCCCTGGTGGGGCAGCTCTGCAGGCTCGCGCCGCCCCGGCGCGACGGCGGCGCTGGCGCGCCAAGGTGGAATGCCTTTCGGGGGACTGCTTCGGGCTCCAGCGCCCACAGGAAGCGACCCACGGCTCACACAGTCTCTCGAAGGACGGGGTGCAACCGCTTTCTTCGAGCCCTGCATCTCTTGTCTCGACAAGATGTGCTACAGCCCAGCTTCAGGGTCTGGCTGGCATTCTCTCGTTACGACGGTGGTTGTTGAGGCATTTGTCCGCCCCGATCTTCGCCCCCAGCAGTAAGCCTTCGAGGGATGGGGTCGGCCGCCTCTGATGGCCTCCGAGAGCCGAGGCCGTTCGAGACCTGAGCGGCTTACGCTAGGTTCGTGTCGTGTGTACCAGCGGCGACCCCGCCAGCGGCGTTCAACTTTGAACGCCGCGGGCGACCCAGAATCTTTCGTTGTGGAACGATTTGGACGTTTCGGAAACGGCCGATCGTTCAAGGTTGAACTATCCCCGCGGTGCCAGAAACCAACGCCGAAGTCGGCACGACACAAACCGGACGTGCGCGGTGTCGGACTCCAGGGCCGCCGTCGTCGAAGCAGGAATTTGCCTCGGGGGAGGGAGTCCCCAGCGAGAGCGCGATTACTTGACAAATTGCGAAGCCGTTTTGAGCGAAACACGATTCCTGAATATATCGTCAGGAAGTATCAGGCGGGAACCGCTGTTGTTGTAGCGGGGTCCCACGGGCGTAGTCCGAGCAGGAAAATTTCCTCTGACAAAAACAGACTGCGAGGACATGGGGCCGCACATCTATCAGGAAAACTACATGCCAGCCAGTGGGGAGGGGTCAACAGCAGATCCAGCCGTGACGACGACGAGGCCACGAAAGGCCAAAAACGCCTTCGATCTTCCAGTCTGGATCGTCGATCTTCGACGCGAGGAGGATGGACTTCGCTCGCTCTTCCCAGGTCGGGCGCGGGATACGCGCCGCTCGGCGAGGAGGGGGCCGAGGCCGACCAGATGCCCAGCGGTATCGTCGCAATGATGGGCCAGGCACGACGTCGTCGTTGTCGTCGTCGACGACGACGACACCGACACCCTCACCGACGCCGACGCCGACGCCGACACCGCCGTCTTCGTTTCACGAGCGCGCACCAAAGGGCGTGGCACAAGAGGGGGCGGGTGGCTGGACGTGCTGGTGTAAGAGCCGCCATGGAGCAATCGGAGGCGACAATAGGGGCAAATAGCTCAGGGGCGGGCATTGCACGCTTTCGCCTGGGAGCCTCGCCGAAGGCGTGCACTGTCAGCCTTCTTGGGCACACGTATTGCTCGCCCCTGGGCTGCTCGCCTCCCTCGTCGCCCCCGAAGCCGGAGGGCCCCGAGGGAAATGGGTCTCGAGGTGGTCTGCCGTTCTCGGGCTCCTGGGGCCCGCGTGCTCCGCAGAGGCCCCCCCCCCGCGGCTTCTCCGAAGGCCCGCCCCCTCGCGCTGCCCTCGTGCGCCGCCACGCCTCGGAAGCTCTCGCGATGTGCCACGGCATCGGAAGCTCTCGCGCCGCTTCTCGAGGCCCAGGCAGCCCGCGCGCCCTCGCAGAAGAAGCCCTCCGGGCCGATGGCCGCCCCCCCTCTCGCGCCACCCCCTCGGGCGCCGCCGCGCTCCGGAGGCTCCTTCGGCTCCCGCCGCCGCGGCTAGGCGCGGTTCTGCAGACTGGCTGGGGTGGACCCGAAGGACTCGGCATCGGTCGGGCATGTGCGCTTTCTCTTCGGCGGGGGCCATCGAGAAGACTCCGGGGTCATCCTGCGAAAATTGGACGCACGAGGGCGAAGAGCGCACGGAGAGTGGACGTCTGAGCGACGGCTACAGGGGGGTCCGAGGTTTTATCTTGAGCGGGTTCTGGGGGCAGGGTGGTAGCGTCTGACGACGACGACGACGACGACGACGACGACGACGACGACGACGACGACGGCGGCGACGACGACGACGACGACGACGACGACGACGACGACGACGACGACGACGACGACGAGAGAGGATTTTCGAGGTCGACGACAACGACGTCGAGGTCGTTTTTCCTCGGTTGGGCCTCCTGGAGGCTCGTCGCCGCCACGGCTTAAGTCTCGTCGAAGTGCTGGCCGAACTGCACCCCAGGGGTGGTCGGGAGGAGGGCTGTCGAAGAAGGGGGACGGAGGTCGGAGGAGGACAGAAAAAACCGTCCCAGAGGTTATGTTTCAGTATCGGCCTCCAGGTGCCATCTTCGAGCCCCAAGGCCGTCAAGAGCCGATCCCGGATGCAAAACCCGCCAGAATGAACCCCAGGAGAGGTCCAGGGACCGAGATTGAGGAACTCGAGGTCCAGGGCGAGGAACTCGGGGTCCCGGGACGACGACGACGACGACGATTGCGGCGACGACGACGACGACGGCGGCGACGACGACGACTACGACTACGATCGCCGTGATGGCCAGGGGGTCTCCATGGCCGGCTGCGAGATGCACGGCGGGTGCCTGGAGGAGCAGAAGGCCGCACAGGCATACGCTTCTGGGCGTCCGCGGACGGCGTCTTCACCGGAGCCGGACCCCTTCCCAGCCACGAGCGCGCCAGGGGGTGCCGCCCAGGTGGCGGGGAGGGGCACGGCATCGGCGGGGAGGTCTTCCCAGGACACCCCGAGGTTTTGTCTGAGGCATGCCAGCGTGCCTGGCCAGGGCTCCTGGGCCCCGGGAGGGTGAGCGGACCCCTCCTGGCCACGGCCGGGAGGGTGTACACACCGCGCCAGAGGTCTAAGGATGCCACGTTGCGTCGGTTTGGTTCGGTCGATGTGCTGCGTCGGCGTGCCGTTCTAGACTGCCTTCTGCCTGTCGGTTTCTCTCCCACAGTGGGTTCGGAGGGTGATTGGTTTTGTTGTCGCCATGGACGTCTGGACGTCATCATAGGCGCATTGTTGGAGGCCAGGAACAATTATACGACAGTGCTCTTCGATCAAGATACAGTTCATCTTGTGTGTATACAAAGATATGGATATGATCAGCCGGAGACGCCTGTCCCAGGCAGGTTGGACGTCAATACCCGAACGCGCCCGTAGAGGTATACCTATTCCAGCGGCCCGCTCAGACACCATGATTGTTCACAACGTGAACCCTTGGAGTTTTAGACCCGTTCTTCAGGAACGGCTTCTCATCCCGATTCGTTTTTGACGGCCTCAAGGCTCGACAAGAACCGTCCGTCGTGAGTCCTGCTCACGGCCAGAGGAGGTGGGGTCTCTTCAGGTACGCGATGCTCTTGAGCTCCCTCGGCGTGGAGCCCAAGTCGGCCCACCTGCACGAGCAGACGTCCTCCAGCGGGCGGGTCGACAGCGACGGCGAGGCCGACAGCTTCGGGCGGGCGACGTCTCAGGAGGAGGCATCCTTCGCCTCACCACGGCAGCGGGCGACAACGGCGAACGACGAACAACGAGGACGATGAGGACATCGACGACGACGCCGCCGACCAAGACGACGAAGACGAGCACGGTGACAACGACGACGACGACAACGACGACCACGACGACGACAAACGACGATGAAGACGACGGTGACGACGACGACGACGACGACGACGACGACGACGACGACGACGACGACGACGACGACGACGACGACGACGATGGCGGCGACGACGACGACAGCGGCGACGACGACGACGGCGACGACGACGACCAATGACGACGGACGACGACGACGACGACGACGACGACGACGACGACGACGACGACGCCGACGACGACGACGACGACGACGACGACGACGACGACGACGACGACGACGGCAACGGCGACGACGACGACGACGACGACGACGACGACGACGACGACGACGACGACGACGACGGCGACGACGACGACTACGGCGACGACGACGACTCTGATGACCACGTTCGGCGCCTTTGATGTGTTTGTGCCTGGCAGGGGTCGCCTGGGGGTCCTTCATGACCACGGCCAAATCCACCTCGAGATCCTGGTCGGATCGCGAGCCCATCTCTGCCACTTCGTTTCTCTCTCATTCCTCTTCCTCCTCCGCCCTCCTTGTCCTCCCTCCCTCCACCCTCCCTACCCCTACCTACCTTCCACCCTCCCCTCCTCTTCCGTCGCCTCCGCCTCCTCCTCCTCCCCATGAGCATACTCCCTTCTCTTCTGCCTCCTCATTCTCCTCCTGCTCCCCATTTCTCTCCCTCTACGTATCCTCATCCCCGTGTCCCTACTGCTCATCCTGATGCGCATCCGGCATCGTTCGTCCGCCGTCTTATTGTTTCCTCCCTATACTCTATCCTCCTTCCTCCCTTTTTCGTTTCTCTGTCCTTACTTCGCCACCTCATACGGAATCCTCCCTTCTCCCTCGCCCCTCTTTCCTCACCCTCCGCGTCTCTCATCCATCCTCTCTCTCCTCCTCTCTTTCCCTCCACATACACATTTAAATGTATATAACATACCTATACGACCACCCTTCGGGTGATAAAAGGGTTGTGGGGGGGGAGAGGGGGGGAACCAGCATCTGACTCAATCGATCTTACTATCGATCTCACTCCTCTCGCGCGCCCACGCAGCTTCGCCTCGCCCGCACGCACGACACGAACAAAACGAAACGATTTCCCGGTTGGGGGTCTCCGTTCCATTGCGATCTCACCTCCCAACCTCCGATGATCATCATCAGCAGCAGCATCATCATCGTCGTCGTCTTCATCATCATCTTCATCATCATGTCTATCAGTATGAGCCCCCGACCCGTTCAAACACGGGCTTTGGCAGGCAGTCCAAGAGAAACCCAGAAGTGGCGACCACGTCGGGATAGGGCCCTGGGAGGTCGTAAACACACACACACACACACACACACTTTAAGTCGGCGGCGCAGAGGAGCCTCAGGCGCGGTCGGCAGGTGTAGGTGCCAATTGCGAACGAACTTAGTCGAACGCGCCGTGATGAAAGAATCCAGCCGCGGCCATGCAGATTGGTGCGGGAAAAAGAGAGGCGCTGTAGAGCCAAGATGATCACGCGGCCGAGGTTGACGTAGCCTTGGACAACAAAACCAGAACTGAACGCGCGCGACCGCGCGCAGCAATCGCTTCACGGGGCGGCGCACATGGGTGGTGGAAAGGCGCGAGCATGGCCATGGGTAGTGGAGAGGCGCGAGCATTGCCAGCGTGCAATGCAGGCGCCAGCGTAAAAAAAACAGCAACCCCAGCGCAGCCAGAGCCGCGAAGAGCTACCACGAAGGCAGGCGGAAGCAAAACATAAAGATGAGCAACCACCTAGGCTCATCGAGACAGTACGCGTCACCTCAAAGGTCGAACCACTCCGACCAAAGGCGACAAAGCGAAAAGAAGGACGAGCAAAGCGAACCCACCAACGGGCAACGCCAACGCACAGATGCCAGCAATCAAGCTGACACACAGCTAAAGCCAGCAGGAGATGAGAACGGCAGCCTCAGATGCGGACGCGCATCCCAGGTGCGATGCAGGAAGCAAGAATTAAACGGGCCGCGGCAAGCAGCAAGGCGGCCAGGCCGCCGCCAGACAAGTTACCAGACGGAAAAACGCGCCGACCACAAGCGGTGCCCGTGGACATTGCCACGCGCACCCTCGGGGGCGCAAGAACACCAGTGCCCCAGCCGGCACGCGCGGCGAAAGGCACCGCCCAGCCGAGCCCCCGAGAAACCCCAGAGAGACAGACAGCCCAGCAACCAAAAGCCCTCCCCCATAAGGCGCTCAGCGGCCAGCGTAGCACCCGGCAGTTGCGTGGGGAGACCTTCCAGAGCGCCCAGAGGAAGCGCCAGCGTCGTCGTCGGGGGCACGGGGGGTCGGGGTCAGGGCAGCGGGCGGCGCGGCAAGGGGCGCGGGGTGAGACGAGAGGCCCGCAGACCAGAAGTAGCGATCGGCGCGCGCGCGAGGCACAGCTGCTCCGCCCTTATCCGACGAGCGGCGGAGATGTGGACCCGCGCGGATGGCGCGATAGCCCGCCGGGGGGAGCGCCCGGGGCACGGGGCGGGCGGCCCCAGCCAGCGGGCCCGCGCGGGCAGGCCAGAGGGGAGCGAAGGAGTTCTGGGCGTTCCAGCCAGGGCACGGCCCATTGTCAGCAGGGGCGTCGGGGACCACGTCCGCGCCGCGGTCGGCCACCAAGTCGGGATAGGAGGGGGAGCTCGGGGACGAAGCCGCGCGCGCGACGCCCCGGCCCGAGGCCGCCGCGGAAGGAGCGTCGTCGGGCGCGGCGTCGGCGCCAGCACTGCGGGCCGATCCAGGGCGAGGTCGCCGACTTTGAAAGGGAACGGCGTCGGCGCAGTCGTCGGGGGCAGCGCCAGGTGCAGCGCCAGGGCGCAGGCGTCGGCCCGGCGAGAGAGCGGCGTCAGGAGCGCCGTCGGGGTCGGCATCAGAGACGCCCTCGCGCGGGGGGTCGGGAGCGTCGTCGGAGACAGCGTCGAGGCGTCGACGGGACGGCGTCGGGGTCGTCGTCGGGAGACGGCCAGGGAGGGGGCGGGGGCGGGAGCGTCGTCCTGGCCGTCGTCGAGGGCGTCGCGCGGTGCCCCGGGGGCGACGGCGTCGGGAAAGGAGTCGGGCGGAGTCCAGTGGGACGCGCAGGGCGGAGGCGCCAGGGACCGGTTCGCGCGGGGGTCAGCTCCCAAGGCGCGGTGGGTCTCGAAAGCGGCGCCGCAACCCGCGCCGGGGGCTCAGCCGCCACCCGCGCCGGGGGCGGCAGCATGGCAGGCACGGGCGTCGAGGGGCTACGGGGGTCCGCTCCCGCACCGCGCGCACGCTGAGAAGCCGGAGCGGCCTGTGCCACGGCAGACAACGCACCTGCGGGTCCAATGCCACTAGCGGGCGCGGCGGGTGAGAGGGCGCGTGGCACTGGGGGCACTCGTAGGCATCCCCGCCCTCCCCCCTCCCGCCAGGCCCCCTCCAGGTCCGCCGTCGGTGGACGCATCGCCGTGGCCGGCGTCGCGGGCCGCGTCGGGGCGAGTGCGCCGACCTCGGGAGGAATCGGCTCCGGGGCGGTTGCCAGGGGCAGGGACGGGCGCGGCCTCGAGGCGCGGGCGTCGGCCCAGTGAGGGAGCGGCGTCAGGAGCGTCGTCGGGGACAGAGTCGGGAGCGTCCCCGGGCGGGGAGTCGGAAGCGACGTCGGGGTCGTCGACGGGACGGCGTCGAGGTCGTCGTCGGGAGCCGGCAGAAGAGGGAGCGGCGTCGGGAGCGGCGTCCCACAGAAGGCCCAGGACCCGAGGGGCCAGGGGACGGGCGGGCCAGAGCGGCGGCCGGCGCCGCACCAGGCCCTGGGGCGGGGGCCCAGGGGCCGGGACCGGGGCCGGACCAGAGAGGACCCACAGAGGAAAGACAGACACACACGCACACACAGACAAACACAAACACACGCAAAAATGTTTTGATCTGCGGGGCGAGAGCGAACCTCTTCCGAGCCAAACACACGCAAAAAACACACACACACACACACACACACACTTTTGAAGTCGGCGGCGCAGAGGAACCTCAGGCGCTGTCGGCAGATGGAAGTGCCAATCGCGAGCGACCTGAGTCGAACGCGCAGTGAGCGTAGCGCGACGCCAAGAGTTGAAGAGCGACAGCAGCCTGGTGCTAGTAGCCGATAAAGAAAAGCATTGCAAGGCTAGACCAGCCAGCAATCGGCGGCGCGAGACAGGCAAAGGCGAGACAAATGCCGCCGCCCAGCAAGCAAGAAACACGATCGAACGCCGCGCAGGTGCAAGTATCGCGAAGACAGCGCGCGTTCGAGGCAAAAGCCAAACCTGAATGCCGAGCTGCCCGCGGGCGACCGCGACAGCCAACAGACGGTGGCGTACATGGGTGGTGGACAGCACGAGCAAATCCCTGGGTGGTGGACGGCGCGCGCGTGGCCAAAGCGCAAATCAGGCGCCGCCGTTGAAGGGCAAATCCACCCCAGTTAACTTGCGTCAACACGTGATGGGAGCCGAAACACGAAGCGAACGCCTGGACGATTTAGTACATGTACGGGTCACCTCAAGGTCACACCACTCCAACTAGAGGCAATCAGGCGAAGAAACACAAGAAAGCGAACCCGCCACCTGGATGCGCCAACCGCTGGCGCACGAGCTGAAATTCAGCTGACGCCAGCAAGATGCGACCTGCATCCCCAGGAGCGATGCACACAATGAATGCAGTGCAGATGCAAAAACTGCAAGAGACCGTGGCCATGCCAGCCAGCACCCAGGCCAAGGCGCAAGCAGCAAGGCGTCAAGACCACCGCTGGACAAACTGCCAGCGGAAAACGGCGCCGACCACTAGCGGTGCCCGTGGAAATTGCCAAGCACACCCTTGGGAGCGCATGAATGCCAGTGCCCTGGGCACCGCGAAAGGTGCACGGCACCGCCAGGCCGCGCCCCTGGAAG